AGGTATTGAGAGAGACAGACAGACAGAATATAGTGATATAGTGTTTGGGAAAAGACTTGCTATAGTCTATGCTCTATCTATAAACAATACAAAATCCTGCTTTTGGATTACAAAACCACCTGAAGTACCTTTAGCCAATGCTAGTTTTGTGATACTTACTGAATTGTAAGAATTGTTAAAAGTAAAGCATAAGAATTCTACACACAGTCATTTTTTCCAGGGAATATTAGAAATGTTGGAAGCCAAATAAATCTTACATATTGAAAATATTGGTCTAATTTCATTCTTCTGCATCTAGATGTTAAAGTTTCCCAGCACTATTTATTGAGGATGCCCCCTCTTCTCTGGTGTCATTTTTTAGCATCTATGTCAAATATAAAGTTGCCACAGTTACATGCACTTATGTTTGAGTCTTCTATTTTGTTAATTTACCTACCTGTCTGGTTTGTGTGTGTGTATGTGTGTGTGTGTGCATAGATACACAAGTATATAGTGTTTAAGAATACACACCCATTCTTTATATATACTACTTCATAAGTATATACTGTAAGAGAAATATGTATTGCAATAAGAAAAACACAATAAAGCCAAAAATACAAGAAATAATACCCAAAACAAATTTATAATTTAGAGGGAACCTAGCCAAATACAACTTGTATCAATAAAGGCTAACTCATTCACACCTGTAGATATACTGCACATGGCAATTGCTATAAACCATCAAGTACTACATATTATGTGACAAGATTTCTTATAATAGCTGGTCAAGAGGGAATTTAAAAAACAGAAAGTCCAATGGTGTAAAGACTATTAAAATCTGCCCTGTGAAACAGATTAGAACTCTGATTAGATTAAAAATAGAAGAAAAAGAAAAAAAGAAAGAAAGGAAGGAAGGAAGGAAGGAAGGAAGGAAGGAAGGAAGAAAGGAAGGAAGAAAGAAAGGAAGAAAAGAAGAAAGGAAGGAAGAAAGGAAGAAAGGAAGGAAGGACATAGAGGAAAAGACCAACTTAAGGAACTCAGAGACTGGCTGGACACAAGAGTTATAGGGTGAGAAGAGGAAAGCCTATTTTGGTTTCTTGCTGGTACAATTGGAAGAGTGGAATTGAGACCATGCTTGATCTCATCACAGGAAGATGAGCATAAGCAAAGACTCTACTTAGAACATGTGGAATTGAGCTGAAAATACACATCCAAGTGGGAACGCCCCTTGTATCTGCCTATTCATCTCTATAGTGACTGCAACAATCATTGGATTCTAATGCATAGCTGGATGTCATCCATGCAAAATGTCTTTGAAGAGCAGTTACCAGTTGGCTGTGATAGCTATTAAAATGAAAGCACTCACACTTTTATTTTCATGCTGCCAGATGCTATAAGCACACTTTAATTTATATTTTAAAATAGCCTTACTGTCTTTGATGTTAGTCACACATTCTTTAAAAAATTACCAAAGAAATATACATATATATATATATATATATATATGTGTGTGTGTGTGTGTGTGTGTGTGTGTGTGTGTGTGTATTACACACACATTTTCAAAGGTTTATCCAGGGAAAACAAAATAATATTGACAAATAGCCCATTACTCATCTTAGGAGACCTTAGACAACTCCTTTAAGGCTTGTCCAGATAATTTTTAGATGTATTACTATTCTTAAAGATATAAAATGTTGTGTTCTCATAACATGTCAAGCGTTGGCTCCTATTAAAAATATCCTTTGAATATCATCATGATTTGATGCTTGCTAGCCTTCCTTCATGCTGTCTCAGCCTTGATCAGTAACTTCTCTTTTGGAGCAAATTAATCTGTCCAGATTGTGGGCCACATCCCAGGCTTATTTTTATCTGTGTGTGAGTGATAAAGATCTAGAAGTCATTTTGATTGGTGTGTTTCTATAACTACAGCAGGATTCCATTTACCACTTAGTCAAGGTGGTAATGAGGATTTCTGTACCAGGCAACTGTGGCTGCCATCTGGCAAGCCAGCATTACATGCCTGCCTGGCAGACAGAACCAATTAGTCAGTCCCCACACCTCCCAGGAGGCCTTCCTGTATTTGGTAACTGGTGTCCCACACTGAGCCTCTCAAAAGCCCATGATGAATTCTAGGTGGGGAGAAGAAAGATATTTCCCTTTGGTGTTACAGAGCCATCAAAGACTCCAGGTTGAGGAAGTCCATGAGCTGAACTGCTGACACAGCAAACTTTTTTCTGGTGGTCTTTGTAATTTCAAGGTCCATGTCACTAGTGAGGAGCTATAGGTGAATGAACATTGAGTATGTAGTTCACTTATGTGCTACAAGGCCTTTGATTTCACCAAAGCAAAGGAGCAGACTCAGTATGGAAGCAGCAGTGCCTAGAATCTGAGCTAGAATGATCAGATTGACACTTCTCAGCATTATGGTATTGGCAAGAACTGTCCTTGCTTCTGTTCCCTTATCCATGAGCTAAAGATGTAATTGCTCCTAAGTGTTTCTTGCATCACTGGGTGATTTGTAGTAGAAATGAGTTAATACATGTAAAGAGCTAAAAACTAGTCCTCGACCCATGGCAAACAAGATCTACTAGCCCTAAATGTGAATAAAGAAATGCTGAAGTTACAGTGTAGGAAGAACTTTTTTCATGCTGATGGAAGAACCCTTGACATGAATTGAAATGAGAAGGAGAGGAATAAACATACATAATTATTCTTACTCTATATCAACATCTAGAGGATAGAAAGCCGCTAGTTTTCTGTTTTAGTTTTTAATTATTTGTATTATGCTGTTTTCTAGAAATTGTGTAATATTTGATGATAAGGGAAATCAATTAAAATTTAAATAAAACAGAAGGCTTACTGTGTAGCTCATTAGGACAGTGCTTATCTAGCACAGACAAGTCTGAGTTTCATCCTCACCACCATACAAATCAGGCATGAAGGCACATACCTGCAATCTTAGTATTCAAGAGGAATAGAAAGGAGGAGAAGAAACTGAACATAGTTATCAGCTACACAGAGTTTGAAGACAGCATAGGACATATTGAATCTTATGTAGAAGAAGAGAAGGAGGAAGAACAGGAGGGGGATGAAGAGGAGGAGTAAAAGAAGGAACAGGAGAAAGAAGACGAGAAGGAGCAGGAGGAGGAGCAGGAGGATGAGAAGGAGGCAGAAAACAGCAGTGGCGATAGTGGTAATAGTTCAGGCATCTTATCTATACCCTTATGAGTCACTTTAACTTCGAATCTCAGATTGTCATCTATCAGATAGTAGAGAAAACAACAGTGGCATGTGCATCTGGTAATACAATGAACAAAATGCAAATAATATGTATCTGAAAGTACCTGGTCATAATAAAGTGGTTTATTGTTTTAAAAACTGTATTATTTTTACTAAAATCATTCTTGAGAGTGACAAAACAGAGGAAATACATAAATACATCAATGCTAGAGTCAAAATTAGAGGAAAACTCAGAGACTTTTAGGTGTTCATACAATATTTTAATCTTGCTAGTTTAGTCTTTTCTGCTCTAAACAGACCATACCTTCAAGAACTCACCATGAGAAAGCCAATAGAAAATACTAAATGGAAGGCAAAAAGACTTGAGTTTTAGCCTTAGTTGTTCCACTAACCTATTGGTCATGTTACTTTCATAAATGGGCTTCAGTATTCAGTTAGAACCTTCAGAGTGCATCCTGAAATACACTTGTGGGCTGTCAAGTATTCCACATATACAGTCTTTTGCCTGGTTCTTATGCACAGAAGGTTAGAATCCACAGGCATTCATTCCCTCCTATGGATAAAATCTAGCTATCACCTTTGTGAGTTTTTAAGGGCTATTAAAATTATAAGCTAAAAATATTTCTCTTTGAGTTTTATGCAGACTTTAATCAGTATTCTACTAAAATATCTGGCTGTCACTTAATGCTTGGCAGCATTGCAAAACGCCCACTCTATGTATCCATTTAATTGAAATTTCAGTAATTTTTGGAAATGGCACTTTGTTATCAATGAATCATTAGTTTGGTCTTGATTTGGATCCAGTTTTCAATTGGTGCTATACTTGTCTTTTAATTTCAAATTACTAATCACTTAGATTTATCCTTCCCAAGACAGTTTTTTTTTATGGATTTTTCAGATGGTTATTAGTAGAATCTGGTGTTAAGTATTTCTGTCAATACACTTTGGGGCCCACAGTTTTTTGATTTTAGACAGGAATGCATAGGGTTTTGAAAATTAATAATATTTTCTTCTTGTAATGTGAAATCAGACAAATATTCCTTCTCCAACAGGCTGGAACCTCACATGGTGTTCTGGTTCGACTCTTGTCAACTAGACAAAAGGTAGACTCATTTGAGAAGAGGGAACTTCAACTTAGAAGATGCCCCCTTCAGACTGGCCTTTAGACAAGTCTGTGAGGCATTTTGCTGATTAATGACTGATGTAGGAATGCTCTGCTCATTTGGTGTGGTGCTACCCTTGGTCAGGTTGTCGTGAGTTATATAAGAGACCAGGCTGGGCTAGCCATGGGGAACAAGCAAATAAGCACCATCCCTCAATGGTCATTGCTTCAGTTCAGGACTCAGGGATCTTGCCTGTTTGTGTATAAGTACACTGTCACTGTCTTCAGACACACCAGAAAGGGGCATTGGATCCCTTACAGATGGTGTGAGCTACCTTGTGGTTTCTGGGAATTGAACTCAGGACCTCGGGAGAGCAATACAATGCTCTTAACCACTGAGCCATCTCTTCAGCCTGGTTCTTGCTGTTTTTGTGTCTGTGATTTACCTTCATGATGGATTATAAACTATTAGATAAAATACACTCTTCCTCCTCCCTAAGTTGCTTTTGATCATGGTGTTTATCAACAGCAATAGAACACAAGCTTAAGACATGGCTAGTGACACATATTTACTATACCCGTTCCTGAGTGTCAGTGAGTTTGCCACAGTTATGTTGACCAAGTCAATTTGCCGTAGACAAAGATGTAATACACCAAATCCCCTCGAAATTTATTTTCAAGTTGAAAAGGAAGCATTTATAATTTGTATTCCATGAAAAATGTACTTATTTCTATTTGTGTATGTTTGGATGAATTTATGTTTTCCTCTGTACTTTTCTAATGAATTACCAAGAAAGGCTTCGCTATTTCTTGTTACTCACCCTGTCATCCAGGAATCTGTTACTGAGTACTCTGGTTAAGAACTTTTGATTGCTTTCTGGTTTTGGGCTGCTGCTTGGGTGCTTGCTTTCTTCCTTCTCAGCTGGGTTAGCAGGTATTTGTTGCACAGAAGTATCAGTGGGTCCTGGCAGGTCTCTGCTCACCTGTCTTGTGTAATCAGTCGTGGGTTTCTGGAGTGAGGTTTGAGGTTCTGTCTTCGACTTCTCATTCTGCGTACTGTGAAGAGAGTTTGCACCTTGTCAGTCATAAGGAACACTCATCATCATACACAACACTGGCATGAGAAGCAGAAGGTGTGAGTCTGGAAGTGTGAACGGCAGTAAGAACCCTGTGAGATGTAATGGTAAACATGGCTGTCTGTCTGAGCATCATGTACCCGAAGTTACCATGCCACTGTCTTCTCAGACTTTTTTCTCTTCTCACATCCTGATCATCTGAGTATCTGCTCCAGATCACTTACTACAAAAAGTGAACACAGTCAAAACTGAACACCAACCACGAGTACGTTGCTCACTTATAACTCAAATAAGCCTTTGCACCTAGGAATGGACGAAAGTCAGAATCTTTTGCCAGTCCCAGGCCTCCTCTGTCTCTCCTCAGTTGTTAGACCCCAAGACTTTTTTTCTCTCAATGTTCTTTCAAATGCTCCAATATTTGTTGATCTGATCAAAGTTCAGCTATGAGCAGTTCTTTGAATATATGTGTAGTTTTACAGTCATCTTTTTTTTTTGTAACAGCAGCATTGAAATGTAAAGGAAAGTTTAGAGAGAATTCAGATTAACATTTATGTAAAAGAAAGAACATTGCTCCTAAAAGGTGAGTGGAAAGAAATTTCAGGGAAGTCAGGGGAGAACCCAGGAGCATTAGGGCAGCAGCAAAACTAAAAAATGTTTTTAGGAAGAAGCCCAGACAACAGTCTCAAATGCCAGTGTGTTCTGCAGTGGCCATGTGAGCACTGTCAGATCCTGAGCAAGGGCTCAGAGAGCTGATCTGAATGATCTAGTGGAAGTGAACACTAGAATGAGGGAACATAAGATAGAGATGATGAACCCGAGAGAGAGGAGGTGAGAAGAACAGGGTGAAGAAGTCTAGCTACCTGAGTATAGGAGTATGGCAACAGGCCATACATAACCTGGGTTTTCAGGTAGCTCTCTCCTACTGTTGTCTCTGGAGATGCTAAAGACTTTCACACATTGCAACACTGATCTGGAGAAGATGCCACTGAACAAGCATAGTGAACCAGATACAATAAGAGGTTGTGTCAGAGAGGCCCAGGGCAGGAAAGATGTAATCAGGGATATGTGCAGTCTCATTTGTGTTTGGTGACTAGAGGCTAATAACTTCTAACCTCTGAATTTTTGCTCCGCTAGTACGACAGTTACTTGATTGGTCTCCCTGGGAAGGTATGCAATGGAAAGTCTGAATTAAGAAGAAATTATTTGAATTATCTGCTGTGAAGAGTGAAAGAGAGACCCGGGTGGCTGAATGGGAAACGAGGACAGTTTGCTAGCCTGTAAAGATGGAGAACACAGACTTTTGTGACACCAGTTTGAGATCATGGGTGTTCTCCTCTGTGGGAGCTCAGTATTCCTCATGGAGATTCAGTGAAGGAAGACAGTGATATTCACCCAGAACTATGCCCTTGCCAGATTGATGAATTCTAAAGACAACAGTGAAAGGCAGAATGCTAGAAAAAGAGTGCACATCTGACAAATAGATCTTATACTGAGGAGAAAATAGACATTGATTTCTTGTTTTCAACATACTTAAATTTCCAGTAAAAATAGCACAAATTATGATTTTACAATTGTTGTAAGCTTGATTTAGAAGTCAGGATAATGGTTACCTGTGGGAGTAAATGTAGAATGTAGAAGGGAGTGTGGGGGGCTTTAGGGCTACTGGAACCTTCCCTTTTCTTGAACTGGGCATTTGCTGAATGACTGTATGATGCTAGCACAAACCCAGCGAGAGATAGACACAAGAGATGTGCTTTTATGTCATTGCAAATATAGTCCTTTAAAATGTCATAAATCTTGGCATAAATCTGGCATGAGATTGGCATAAATCTTACAGATATACATGCCTAACATATCCATTTCTAGCGAACAGTGAAAAAATTAATGCTATTTGGTGTTCAGAGGAGAAAGACTTAACTATGGACTGTGATAACTAGTAAAACAAAGGTATTACTGATTATTTCCTTTCATGATGCCAACTCTATATCCCTTTCCATCTCTTAATTAATTTGGTCCCTAAAGGTCCCTAAATCAGTCCCAAAGAACATATACTCTCCTCATTTCCTGAAGAAGAAATTGAGATTCAGAGATTTTAAGTGACTACATGCCTTTTCAGTGGTAGATTTTAAGTGACTACATGCCTTTTCAGTGGTAGATTTTAAGTGACTACATGCCTTTTCACACCTTTACACCGATTTAAATACTCTACTAGAATGCCTAGCTTTATATCTTGTAGGCAGTAGGGTCATAGGGTGAACATGGAAGCTTGAGATTGAACGAAAATTCAAAAAAGGAGCAGACCACCAAAGCAGGATGTATAGACTTGGAAGGCCATGAAGGAGACATAACACATCTGGGTGGAGGCAAAGAACTTATATCATCTTTGCTTTATTTACCTATAAAATCCTTCTCTTGGTAGACTCAAGACAGAAATACCCAAGAAATTCTGCAGTGTATCTGCTTCTCTTTTAGAACAACCACAGTAGATGTGAAACCAAAAATAACCTGTTAGCTCTGTTTCAAGTAAAAACTGTCTTTAAAAAAAATACATGGCACTTTAAAAATTAGCATGAAATAGGCTCTCTAGCTGAGAAACGACATGTGTCTCTGCTTAGCACAAACATCTCTTCAACACACATTTCTTGTTGTGTTGATCACAAACTCACAGTTCTTTCTTCTAGGCAGTGTGTTAGCTACCTACTTTACTGAAAATAGAAATTTGCCATTTTAAAAGAAAGGGGGAAACACAGCATGAGTAGTGTGTTAGAAACCTGGCAGTTAGCTTCCTCACATGGACTTCTGGGCCCAGCTTCTGATCCTAGGGTTACTATGAAGAACTCAGTAGCATCCCTGGCTAGAGTAATTAGGGATGATTACAGTGCTGCTGAGTGATCAAAAATGAGGTCAAGCTGCTGAAATGTTCCCTCTCCCACACTGGAGACTTGCTATAACCAGGCCTTTAGGGCTTCCCACTGATGAAGCTCAGAGTGCTAGGGGCTAAACTAAAGAGAAACACTACAGGGTGAGCAGCAGCATCCTTTGCCTTAGTGATGCAGGGTCCCTGATGACCCTCCCATGCAACTCCACCACAACAGATCACACATTTCATTTGAATTACACAAAATCTCAAATAGAGTACCCAGGGGGCTCAGCAAAAGGTCACCAGATGCCATCCAAAATGTCTGCCAGCCTTGGCAGCCAATCAGTGCCTCCAATTCCCAACCATGTGCCAACTATCCTCTAGAATAGCCTCCTGGGACTGTGACAGCACAGGGACTAGAGATCTAATTTTCATTTTTGTAAAATGCTTGTATTGAAAGTCATAAGAGATCATCAACACAATCAGGATTTTGCCTCTCTTCTTATTTTTTTTAGAAAGATGGTAAACATATAATAGCAACTGGGGAGGAAATACACCTGAAGTACCACACTAACTGAAACAACACGGAAACTGAAGGACAAAGTCTGTGATAAAGTATGTTGAAAATGTTATTGTGAAAATCTGTGAGGCTTTTAAACATTGTGCTTCCATTTGAAGCTACAGGGATATGACAAACATAATTTAGTTTCCAGAAAGATGTTAAAATGTTGCTAATTCTACTCCAATATTTATGCTCAAACAATTCACTTCTTCACCACTAGTAATATCATAAATATATACATCATCACACATATCTCATAAATGTACACATATACCACACTTTGTGCTGAATTCATGGTTTGCAAAGTTGGTATTATTGTCATGGTGAAGATCAGTGATAAAGAGATTAAGTAATTTACTCAATGCTCATAGTAAACACTATGACTTTAATCCAGACTCATATGGCTCCAAAGCCAGTGTGCCTCAATATCACACTTATAACTTACAAATGATTCATAATTAAACAGTAGGGTTTTAAATTTTGTCTTTTTTTAAAATTATTGGATATTTTATTTACATTTCAATTGTCACCCCCTTTGCCCATTTCCCCCCAGCCAGATCTTGTCTTTAAAACATGAATGTAAATTTTAGTGAAAACTAACTTAGAGTGGTTTCTATTATATATTCTAAGCTAGTGTCTTCGTAGAACATCAAAGTGCTCATTCAGCCTGTGTTTATACTTTCCCAGAGACAGAAATGTTACAATCACAAAGTAGCTCAACTCTTCATAACACTTAGCTGTGTTCTGGCATTAATGGAAATAGTAAGTTTATGTGTTCGATCCATTCATACTATAGTTTTTGGAGAATATAGCAGCTTTCTCAAATGACTGTGATTATGGAAGATATAAAATTAGTAACGAATCCAACCAGCAATTGTCCTTTGCTGTGATTTACTTTTAAATTGTAAATATCTCAATATCTCTGCTTTCCTGAAAGCTTTATTCGTTATTTACAGTTGTGTGTCTTGTATCACAGACCTTGCCTTCTGTTTATCTTTATATTATTACTTCCTTATTCTGATGGCGATAAACATCTATTCAAGCTAGCCATTGTATTCAGACTGTATTGTTACATGAGAATATACAAAAACAAACAAACAAACAAATAAGTAAGTAAAAGAGAAAAAATATTCTAGAAAAAGTGGATCAACTGACTCTTGGGAAACCTATGAACCTATGAAAAACCTATGCACCAGGTTCATATTAATGTACCAAAGAGTTCAAGGGCATCACAAACAACTAGTAAGACATTGTATTAAAATAAAAAAGTCTAGCAACAACCAGAATGGCTACACAAAAGACTGGAGAAATTGTTCAGTTAATGAACACTTGCCAAATATGCCCTACACTCATTCAATACCAGTACAGAAAGAGAAGACAGCATGGCACTTTGTCTAGTGCTCACTGGCTCTGACAAATGGCAATTTAGTGTTGCTTCTTATGGTGCTCTGCCATCATAAGTACCTCCTCCTTCATCACCCAGGTCTATAGTAGATGCCACTTTCTTTTGAGTTCTAGAGCTTGCTTACTAATAAGGATCCTAAAGTTCAAGTGTATG